TAAAACCGACTTCGAAGGCGATCATAGGTTTTGTGGTAACCAAGGTGACCAGCCGTCGGATGGTCATGAAGTGCTCTGAGGACTTCGGACCGAAGCGATCGGGGTAGAACGGGAACCCAGCGCTGACCGTCAGGATGGTAAATTTTGCGGTACAGCACCCACCGAGTTGTCCAGCTTAAACTGCGAGAGTTGGCGACGGAGCCTCGCATTAGGTGGACGGGAACTGCCAGTGAGGTAGCCTATAATACGTCGACAGTATGGGTCAGCCAGCTGTCGAGAAGAAAAATCGTGCGGGTCGTCCGAAGGCAGCTGGTCTATAGAGGCGAGAGAGGAAAGCGCCGTAGACGTGGACTCCGAGGGCGTGTTGTGCGAATTGATTGCGGAAACCCCGAGTGGAGTCGCTGGTAGTGGGCAGCGAGAAAGAGCGTCGGCGTCACTATGTTTCCTGCCACACTTGTATACGATGGCAAAATCATACTCTTGTAGGCGTAGAATCCAGCGGCCGAGGCGTCCCGACAAGTTCTTGAGTGTCGAAAGCCAACATAGAGCGTGGTGGTCGGTCACAATTGTGAAATGGCGGCCGTGAAGATAGGGACGAAATTTCTGCACTGACCAAACGACGGCGAGGCACTCCTTCTCGGTGATCGTGTAGTTCCTCTCGGCTGCGGAGAGGACGCGGCTGGCGTACGCAACGACTCGCTCTCGCGAAGAGTTGTCGCGCTGGAGGAGGACGGCTCCTAAACCGTGGCCGCTAGCGTCCGTATGGAGGAAGGTCGGTGCACCATCGTGAAAATGAGAAAGTACAGGATCGGTCGTGAGGGCACTCTTCAACCTGTCGAAAGCCGATTCACATTCCTGAGACCACTGAAAGGGCGTACCAGAAGCAAGTAGCTTATGGAGTGGTGCGGCTATGGAGGCAAAGTTTTGTATGAATCGCCGAAAGTAAGAGGCGAGACCAAGGAAACTTCGCAAATCTTTCGGCTTCTCAGGGCGAGGGAAGCGAAGCACTGCAGCAGTTTTCTCAGGGTCTGGACGAATTCCGTCCTTGCTCACAACATGACCAAGGACCTTGATAGATCTGCTGCCGAAATGGCACTTCTTGGTGTTAATTTGAAGACCAGCGCCCGCAAGGCAAGTCAGGATCTCGTCCAAGCGTTGCAGATGTTGAGGAAACGTCGACGAAAAGACAACAATGTCATCGAGGTAACATAGGCAAGTCTTCCATTTCAGGCCACGCAGCACGGTGTCAATCAAGCGCTCAAAAGTTGCGGGCGCATTGCATAGACCAAACGGCATAGCATTGAATTCGTATAGGCCGTCCGGGGTTGCAAACGCCGTTTTTTCTTTGTCATCTTCGTGCATGGGGATTTGCCAATAGCCGGAACGCAAGTCGAGGCTTGAAAAGAATTCAGCACCTTGTAAGGAATCGAGGGCGTCGTCGATACGTGGCATGGGGTATACGTCCTTCCTAGTGATCTTATTGAGTGCTCGGTAATCGACGCAAAATCGTACGGATCCGTCTTTTTTATGCACCAGAACCACTGGAGACGACCAAGGACTGGTTGAGGGTCGGATTATCTCCCGTTGCAGCATATCGTCTACGTTTTCCTCAATGATTTTCCGTTCGGCTAGGGAGACGCGGTAAGGACGACGATGCACAATGGATGTTCCGTCGGTCTGAATACGATGTGCTGTAGCAGTTGTCTGACCCAGGCTGGATGAATGAATGTCAAAAGAGTTTGCACGCTTTTGCAACAAATCAAGCAGCTGCTGCTTCTGTGAGTCTGTCAAGTCCTTGTTGATGGCTGCTGTAAAGGCCGAGGAAGCCGTATGATCTCCAAGATGGCCTTTAGGGGAGGCAGGGGTAAGAGGCACGACGCACACAGGCTCCAGATCGGCAACGCAGGCGACAGTAGTGCCCCGCGGCAGTAAAATTTTATCTGGTGTGGTGTTCGTAGCAGCGAGGACAGCTGATCACTTGTTGAAGCGAGCCACACCTGATGCGAGAGCTATGCCTTTATTGAGGCAACGGGGCGATGGAGTGACCAAAATGTCACCAGAGTCAACGTCGTTGGACAAAACAGTGACTAATTGATGTTCCTTTGGGGGTAACTCGATGTCTACAGCAGCGACGAGTCGAAGTGACCTGTAGGTTTCGTCACTAAGCAAGTGGTCTGTGTCAGTAAGATGGACGACACGTTGTGCACAACAAATAGCCGCGGAAGCAGATGAAAGAAAGTCCCAGCCTAAAATGAGTTCGTGGGAGCACGGGGATAGCACAGCGAATTGTATATAATGAAGAATGTCGTCGATTAGCACACGGGCAGTACAGAGAGCGGAAGGGCGAATCATTGTTCCCTGGGCTGTAACCAGTGTTGGTCCATCATAAGGCGTCGTGACTTTTCGAAGACGGGTACACAAATCAGCACGAATAATAGAAAACCCAGCCCCAGTGTCCACCAAAGCATCAACGTCCACTCCCTCAACTGAGACTGCAATCATATTGTAAGGGCACGCTGGAGGAATTGGAGTACTGTGTTGGAATGCAGTTTGTCCTCCAAAAACTGCATCGCTTAGTTTTCCGGACGCCGATCAGAAGCGAGGGAAGCAGGTTGAAGAGGAGAAGAGGAGCGACGGTAGGGCGATGGTGAACGGCGTCTGGTTGATCGATGACTACTGCGCAGTTCACCGGATGCTGGCGGAGATGGAGACCGACGCGGCGGTGACGAATAACGACGGCCCTGGTACAAGGCTCCTGCGGTATAGTCTCGTTCGCGTATGTCATACCCTCGGCGCTCATCTTGCTGGCACTTGCGGCAAAAGCGTGAAATGTGACCACGATAGCCACAATAATAGCACGTAGGGCGAGTCGATCGATAAGAAGGGTAGTAGCTTGTGTTAGATGCACCGGGAGAGAGAGCAGTGAGAGGGACAGATGATGGCTCAGGCGGTGGTGATGGAAAGCTCAAGCTCGTGGGAAAGCTTCTGGGAGGTGCGGCAGCAACCGACGCGTACGTTGGTGGCGGCGGCGTCGAGCTGACGGTGCCTGATGGTGCGGCGACGGCATGCGAGAACGATGGGAGAGTACGAGCGACAGTGGGCTGCAGGTGGGCCATGTGGGTCATGGACGTGAGCTCCTCCCTGATGACATCCCGTAATGACGTTGAAGAAGACTGCATGGGACACACTGAAGGTAGTGTGAATCCCATTGATTCTAATTCTTTGCGTATAATCACCCTTATTGTGTCTCGTAGGTTTGGATCTGCCGTAATACGGGCCGCGTCACTGTCCGGTTGTAGGCGCATAGACTCGAGTTCTTCGAGGCGCTGACAGGTTGTCGCAACGTCAGCAACAGTAGCTGGATTCTGGATTGCAAGGGCATTGAATGCGACGGGTGCAATCCCCTTAAGAAGCTGGCGTACCTTGTCTGACTCTGTCATTGGGGTTTCAACCCGGCGGCAAAGTGAAAGAACATCCTCGATGTAGGATGTATACGACTCGCCGATGTGCTGTTTCCGAGCCGCGAGAGCTTTCTTTGCGAGAGCCGAACGAACAGTCGGTGTGCCAAAGACATGCCAACGCTGATCTTTGAAGGCGGACCAGTCGGGGATGTCGATGTAGTGGTTGAGGAACCACGTCTTCGCGACACCCGTGAGGTAGAATGACACGTAAGCGAGTTTGTAGGTGTTATCCCACCGGTTAGCAGCGCCAACACGTTCGAAATCGTCCAGCCATTCCTCCACATCTTCCCCGCACATACCGGCGAAGGGATGGGGCTCACGCTGGGGGCTGTTAATGACGTGAAAAGGCGCGGCACGCGGTGGTGGAGTGGGAACGGTTGCAGCACCGACCTCTTCTTGGTGCGACATATTTCCGGACACCTGGCCCAAGCGGCGACCTGAACGTAGCTCCAGGGCGTAGAGTGGTCGAGAGGATGACGAGGGATCTAACAGCACGCTCCACCACGTATGAAGTCTTGGTTTGGAAGACCTTTATTAGGCCCGAGGAACCGGCAGCCGACAGCGGAGATGCACGAACCAAGATGATGATGATACGTGACAACGATGAGGATGCATAAGCAATACATGATAATGATGATAATGTACAGATGAGGAGGATTGGTATACTAAATGCCCACAATATATTGATCTTGACCCGTCATCAAGAAAAAAAAAAGACCGCATAGAAGATGCTATATCCTATTCTGTCTTCTTATTTTGCTTTGTGCCAAAAATCTTTCATTAAGCTATATGTAGGAACTTGCCCAATGCAATACTTCGAGGCAACAGCCCAAAACCTTTCAGTCTTCGCGACCTTGCCGAGACAAATACAGTGGATGCAGGGATAGAGTTTTCTGGGAGACTAATGCCCAACAAAAAAGCAAACGAAGTGCCCAATTGAAAGTCCTGCCCTTAGTAGGGTTCACCAACAATTTGAATACATTAGTTTCATGGGCACAATAAATATTTCAATTAATTGCACGAATTATAATTTAACTTCGATAAGCTTCATTATCGGAACCTTAAAGGGTATTATAACTGCAGTTTTGAAGCATCAACAGGTCTTGTACCCTGCCCTCTCACTTTGCATCATATTGATTATACAGGAGTTAACAACTGGGCATCCCTACAAGGCATATCGTCATGGCAACCTGAACATTATTTTTTAACCTGTGCAATTTTTATATGAATCAATTAAATTGTGCCCAGATGCTTTGCATACTTCAAAGTGCATTTGGGAGTAAACTACATGGCAGCAGCCTTCTCAATTCCGATTCAAAAGGTTCCCCATATTGAGCAACCAGAGCTTATGAAAATGAATCTTCAGAAGGCTTAACATACAAGACAGCATGTCATTATCTGCCTTGTGCATAAAGTATTTTTGTCTCTCGTTCTGCCTTCAATTCATGCTCCTATCATCAGTGATCTCTCGCAGCCACGTTCTCATTAGGACTTTCGGTATCCCAGATCTGAAGGAGTCAAACAGGCAGGACAATGCAGTCATATATCAAATAATTTATTTACATCCTAGGTGCTCCTCGAACACATGTGAATGTCATCTCATACTGTGCAGCGTACAAAAGGAAAGCATGCACTGTCAATGTGTACAGCTGAACACTGCCCTCAAAGGCATCTGCATCGTTGCCTCATACAAAATTGAGTTCTGTAAAATATCTTCGCCATTGTGCTGAAGACATTAAAAAAAAGAGGAAAATACACTGTTCGTACAGAGTTTGAAGTTTACTGGCAGATCATGGAAGAAATATCAGTTCACGGGGCTGAACATTTCTGACGGCAGACATTTCATGTAAGGTCACTTTGTGCGGTATGTGGAAAAAAAAAAAAAAAATTGAGGTGTGGGAGCTGACACAGCCATATGTCTACAAAGAATCGTCGTCACATGTCAGCACTCTACTGTACACCGCATCTGCACTTTACCATAGTTCACTGCTCCTTAGCCAAGATTCAAGGAGTGGTCCTGTGGTTACCGAGCTGCACAACACGCTTATTACTACGTTTGCCAATCCGTTGGTTGGTTGCTCTCATGTGACATAAAATTGAGAATTAAGAACAAAGAAATGTCAGAAATAGAAACAGCTTTTCCTTTTATATATACATTTTTTCTTCACACAAGGAAACGAAGATTTTGAAGCTTCAAGTACCAACAAGAATCAAGAAGCAAATTATGAAGAGAATGTTCATAAAGCTGGTGTAGTCCACATACAACTTTCAGTTGGACACATGTGAGCTTTATAACATTGCAAGTAGCCACCACCTTCACGAGTGCTGCGTCTGAGAAGTGATGCTTCTTTTAACTTATATTCTACCTCTACAACAATAAAGGTCAAATTGCAATCACTGTTCTTCCATATTTCAGGTAAAGCCTTAATGTGTGTGCACATGCAGAGGATGTGGTGGTGGGGGTTCTGAGAACATGAATGCAAGCAATAAGTATATTTGGTACAGATATACAATTGCTGCGATTTCTCCAAGGCATGCATTAATTGCAAAAGCAGACTACAGTAAAGAACAGGACCACGAAACAGCCATGTCACAATTGAAACAGCTCCAAAACTGCAGTTACACATGCTCGACCGACTGCAACGGCAGCGTGAGTATGTCAGTACATTCTCATACATACGAGCAGCCCAGAGTACAATGCCAGGAAGAACAACAAACATTTTGAGCATAACTCTGACAGCAAGCGGTCTATGCACATAAAGGGCAGAGGCTCCTCAGTGTCACAGTCTTGGGTGGAGAAGTCACGCCCAACCTGAATTGCAGGGGTGATAAAGATAAAAATACAAGGAACAACTTTCTGAAACAACATTCACATAAAACTAAAACAACACAGCATACAAACTTTGAAACGATAACACACAAGTCAAAACAAAATGACCGCACAACACTGATGGCCTGCAAGTACCCACAAGAAAGGACAATGAAAAAGACAATATTGTGATGTGTATCGACTAAGTCCACTGGGGGAAAAAAAATGCTCATAGGAGTCTACAAGTGCAACAGTTCATAAATGAAAATGTTGCGCAGTACGTCAGCTTTGAAACATGGCAAGACAAGCAGCCTCCTATTTGTTTAATGTATGGTACATGCAGCCACCAGCTATTCACTGAGGAACAGAGAAACCCATGCTTAAAGCTTTCATAAGGCCTACAAAACAAAAAGCATTTCATACTGCCTGAAATGGGGCCATGGTGATCAGATAATAGAAATTGGGATTCAGCCAATTAAATCACAGCCAGAATGACAGATAGCGAGAGCAAAGGAATGGGAAGAAATTCTACACAAGTTCCCGGACCACTCACTGACAGCCATAACAAAGATTCTTTACACACAACTACCAGTTACCTCTACAGCCTTCCCATAAAGAAACGTACGTGCAAGAGTTACTTGGAGAGTTAACAGTCACAAACAGCACAATTTCCTTATACTGGAGAGCCGCCTACCTTTACTACTACAACTTCCTCCCTATAAATAAGAACAAAAACTTTGCGAAAAATGAAGTGTGCTGTAGAAAAAATAGAGTATCTGGCCTGTAGCTCAGGGCACAAAGCACAACCCCATATATATATATAGAGCCTGGAAAACGAAAAGCAGCAAATAAATGAATGTACACCTTTATACACTTGCTTGTACATCAGCTAGAATAGTTGAAATTTCGAAACACAGAAGCTGTCAAGAACTTATATTTCCTCATGGCCCATGTGAACAGCAATATTTTAACATACGTACTTCATACTACTGTTACCAACACAGGCTCTGGGGCACGAAACAATATACAAGAAAATGCAGAGGCTGTGGTAGCCAAATGCTGCAAGAAGCTTCAGGCACAGACATGCACCATGCATAGCGTTACATGTGGATCTTCATAACACTGCTTTTAACACAGTTGGCACTGGCTAAATTTTAGTTCGTAATCACTTTCGGATGCAGTGATATTGATAAAATGCAGTGCGCAACAAATTTTTCTTTCGTGCTTGTACCCCCCCACCAAAAAAAAAATAAACACAGTGCCATCATTTTATGCTGTTGCCTTCAGCTCCATTGTGTGTTAAGTCGTATCACCAATCACTCAGGCGGCTGATCCTATTGCCAATGTAGTCAGATGTATAAAAGAGGGTTTGTGTAATGGGGTGGGGGACGATGCACTATTACTACATAACATCGCAAAGTACACACCCGAGTTTCGACATCACTGCACAGCCTAATTTTTTAGCACCGTGATAATCGCATGACAGGTCTGCTTCATTATATAATTTTTTTTTGTATAGTAGCAGTTGACAGTACTTTTCATGAAAAGAGCACAATGTGTGCAAACCTTAGTGCTGCTTAACAGTTCTTTATGTCTAAGAAAACAGACTGCCAAGAAATCTTGCAAATGCAGAACGAATTTAACGATCCATGCACTCAACAATCATGTGCTCCTAAAAAAATACCGTGCATGTTACTACTAAATATAAAAATCATTTGATCATTTTTCTGCATACGCACAAACATGGTGCAGTGACAAATGCTACATTAGGGGCACTTAAAATATGGGAGGCCAGTGGCTCAAGGCATTCACAGATAAAGCACGGCATCAAGTGATTTACTTTTCCATTCTACACCTGCACTACGTCCATTCTACACTGTACCACATCCATCTCTATTCCCTGCATTATCTCGTACCTCTGCCAATTAAGTCTCTAACTATCTGCACCTTGTTCACTCTCCATGAACCACCAACTTGAACTTTTGCAATAAGAAATTGATAACACTCAAGGCCATGCAGTGCTTTCAATACATTCCCATCCATATGCCTAGAGAGACAGGACGAGTTTTCACAGTCTTGGCATTTGCTATTTTATGATTTCAAGTACCTGGCCGAGCTTTATCAGGCCCTATGAATTAGTGCCGGTCACACAAAGCCATTATACTACGGCTGCCCAGACGCAAGTTTTTGAATAAAACAACATATGGTTCCGTACCAATGGCGGTGCTACTACAAGCGAATTTTTACACGAAAATGCCTCTCAGCAAAACAAAACAAAGAGAACTGACTTGGATTCCTACATTCGTACTTGCAAGTTGAAACTAATAAGCACAGGGAAGAAGTTGTGGAAGTACATTTTTAATAATGACACCAAGCCTCTAGGTCCAGAACAGGGTCACAGCAGCATAGATTTATAACCATGACGGGAGACCACGTGAAACCATTTGCAGCAGCCGAGGCCATTTTCAGAGGCCAAGGCCTAGGTGCACATGCATTGCAGTACTGTTTATCTACTACGTTCAAATAAAACGGTGCCAAATAAAAAGGTTCAAATAAAAAGCACTGTGCCAAGAAGAGATGTGTACAAGTTGCAAATGTGCTATCATGTGACACAAAGATTACTGCAGTGGGTCAGTCCAACGAGTCTAAAGCTGTTGCGGCAGTTGGACCCTCCAAAAGAAATTTGTAGGTGTGTGTGTGTGAATTGTGAATTTCAGCTTCGAAGTGAATAGTGAATTTTGTCGAATTATTTCGAATCAAATTCTAAATACTATGTATCACATCTTATAAAAATTGAAATATTTGTCATGACCAAAATAACCTGCACAATATTTTTTTAAAATTGAAAAAAGGCCCATGCTAGTGCCATTGTTCTTTGTTCAAAAGAAGTGTGAAGAACTCTTCATAGTAGCAGTATTTGACTTGCGGTAGAATGCAAGTAAATATGTTGTTTGAAGGTTTAAAAGCTTTTGAACTTCAAAAATAGTGAATCGATGTGAGGACAATATGTTAATTTAACTTTAGAGTGGCACTTCCGAGACAATGTGAATTTTTCTTTATTAGATGTACTCACTGCATAGCACTGCTTACATGCAGTGAAACCCCCTTTGCAAGGAGAAGATTAAATGCAAATATGCATTTGGACAAATGCTTTCACGGATCAGCACTCGTCCACAGCAGTGAAACCACCTGCCCAGTTGTCACATGCAGAGCAATATTCACTTATTCGTTTTTTTTTTAATACTTTAAAATTTTCAATAATCAAAACGAATTCAAATACAATAATACTTGTTTGAATATTCAAAGCATTTGAATATTCCCACAAGCCTAGAAATTAGTCCTCTGGTGATAGGGCTTGCCATATGTTAAATAGCCAGTGAATGAAGTTTACCCTGTGATAGAGGGGGAAGGGAACCTTATGTCTAAGCCCATGAAAAGAGAGAAAAAGCACATGTTTCTGTAAATACAACGTACTTTTTAAAGCAAAATAAGTCATCTTTCTTAAAGCTATAAAGTACTTTAAGCATCACACCTTTTGACTATTCTGTAAAGCAATGGGCCAAGCTACGTCGAGCAATTAGACCGTTTTAACAACTCTTAACATAAGGGATTCAAGGGGAGCGAGTTATGACACAAATTTCTTGAACATATTATTTTGGCCTCTACACACGCACTCGTGCGCATATGTTCAAGAACTGCACAGTGAAGCGACATCAGTGAAGCGGCACCTGAACTGCCATGCACTGGATTATGCTGTAACACATGAATCGCATAATGGGGATAGTTGTACAGGCTTAAAGCAATAATTTACCAAATGGTAAAGTGAACATGAAAGCCACCGTTTCGCTTAAATTGCTCCAGCATGCATGTGGTTCATCTCTCCATAAAGCTGCGAGGTGGGGAGGGCCAAGGTGCACATCCAGCATGCAAAGAGCTAAATAATTGGATACACAAAAATGGACTGTTCAGGGAACAACAGATGAGAGAAAAGTTACCAATGGCAGACGACTGATTTCTCTCACTTCACTTAAAACCTAAGTGTTCTGTTATTCCAAGGCACATAACACTTGTTCGAACCGCTAGAGGAAGCAGTCCGGCAGGTTAAAGGTTAGGGACTGGGCCAGAACTAAGAACAACATGGAGTAACACAAAGGCAGTGTTGAGCATACGTTGAAGCTTGGCTAAACTTAAAACAATTAGCTGGTTGGAGTTCAAGCTTGTTTTGTGTGAAAGAAGCAGCGATGAAGAGCACAAAACAGACATCAATAACATGAAAGCTGTGCACTAGTGTGTGTTTGTGCACCTCAAATTCCTCTAGCACACTCTAATACACATTCTTTCTGAGTTATGTTTTGTTTCAGTTACTTCCATGTAGGCATCTTATGGAACAAGTGATATTTTCACCCAGGAATGACAACATGATAGTGCCAGCAAAGTAAACTGATTATACCTAATAAATGCTAATGACTGAGCTTACAGGACCATAAATGTCAGCATTCAGTCTTAACTGGAGGTTTTTATGATGACAGCACTATGTGTGGAGATATAGGTGCACGTAAGACAGTGTAATGACCCACACAGGTGAGCAGCAATGTCGGAGACAATGGTAGGCCTGCCTGGGCGATTGGACAAGAGAGAACTGTGCAGTTTGACCAGGCACTGCTCTCATAAACTCGGTGAGCAACGCAACCCTGAGGGGCGAAAAATCAATGACTTGCAGCATACAGGCACAGACACTGGCGGTGTTTTTGTCTTGCCTCCGTTGCATTGCTGGCAAAGAATCTGCTGCTGCCAGCACAGACGAGCAAAACCTCATTAATATATATCCTCTTGGAACGTGGTTTAAGCATGCACTAAACAGTACTACACAGCAACAGCCATGCACACCTTAGCATTCCTTCACGTGCACCATTAGTACCGAAGTAGTAGATCGAATGCCACATTAAATTTTGTTTAATGTACCTACGACAAGGCTCACGTTACTGTTTACCAAGCACAGAAAATATTCTAGCTCTTTTGCAAGACTGAGCTACAGTGCGTAATTACCAAGTCAAAAAGCATTTTGGAATCGTAACAGGGAACCTGCATAGTGGCTGACATGGCACCAGAGCAACTGGACAACTTGTCAGGCAGTCACCATCAGAACAAGTCTACTGAAATCTGCTACTGAGCAAACACTGGCGATAGTTTTTGCACAAGGTACGTCCTGTTGTGTGGAGCCAATTATCCCAGGCACTTGTGTGCAGCAAGTCACCTTAAAAGCTCCGACTATCGCTGCTAGGGAGTTTGCTCTATCATATGTACACATTTCAAATGCCAAGGGTACATTTGTACCCACTTTTCTCCCGACTATGCATGGGTTGTTTGGTGAGTATTTTATTGCGTTAACACAGCAACGGCACATTGTTTTCACTTCTGTGAGCAAAGTGCATTGCACACCTCCATAACGCACAAGCAATTCTGTGCGAGAAAGTGGCATAAATGGCAGAAACAGCCTACTGGAAAGGCACAGTGCACTTGCAACAGCTCTATGCCACACGTACAGTCGAGAAGGTAGCTGAAGATTCTTATCATGATAGGGCTGTTAGCGATAAGTCATACTGTCGCATTTGTTGGTGGCCGTCATCATGCCTTCAAGTCCTTCCATTTTTTATTTGCACAGGCATTGCTGCACTTGTGCGGAAGTCTGAATCTTTGGTTGATTGGCCTTTGCTCTTACTGCGAGTGTGAAAGACTTTTTTCCCAGGATATTCTGTCACTGGCCATACCACGAGATAAAGGGACTAGCTAGTGTATACGCGACAAAAAGTAATCATGGTATGCACTAAGTGGTAAGCATGAGAAGAACTGCCACAGCTTATGTGGTCAGTGTATAAATTAGGCTCTATGGAGGCTCAGTTGGTGGTTTGCCGCAACTACGTGTTAACTGCTCGTGCATATAAAGTGGGTACATAATAATAAGGTTTTACTCTATTTCAGCACAGCAACAGCTATGTTATTGTGCACAAACCAAAATCGACACTGGAGCGACAAAGCTTAGGGACCCCTAAAGCACAATAAGTTCAGGAACTGGAAGCAAGGCAATAGGAGCACACATCATGTAGAAGTCTTGCCCAATTTCTAGACAACAAAGAGGTCTCCCTCAAGCAGATGAGCGTTTCTGTGCCAGAGTGGATGACCCACACATTCCTCAGGCAGGACAAATGCACGTCTTTTTTGTTTGCTGTGTGGAGTCATAAGAATGACAAATTTTTTTAAATAGTGCTTTTCCCAACATGGGTCCGTGTAAAATGCAACTCACTGAACACAAGGTTCTTCCAATTTCTCCGTTGAGCAGACCTTCCTGCGGGGTGAAATGTAATGACAACAGTTCACAGGAGGGTCCATGAGCATAGAGCAGGGGGTGTATAAAATACAATGCTCACAACTACTACGGGTGAAAGCCAATAGAAAAGCACAAAATAGTAATGGGTTCGAAACAAGCCAGATACAAAATGCACCTACATCCATTTCCATGATATGCTGTGGTGAATCAAATAATTTGTGCAAAGTTATGCAAGACCAATGCCAAATCAACTAATCATAGGTGACAATCATGGGCTACATTCCCTTATAACCATGAGCTTTGTATTTTATGATCTGAACAATCATCTACAACAAATCATAAAAGATGTGCATTTAAGATACTTTCTAAAAGGGTCATTGCTATGTTCAGATAAACTTTGACCAAGAAGCAAGTGTGTCCATCTAAATTTTATACCAGTTAATAGAAAAGTTAGTGTCACGTTGAAGGAGTGTTCTTTTCTCTGTGTTGTACACAGGCATGGAAAAGCTTAATAACACATGCTGATGAATGAATTTGCCCGAATGCACTCAACAAAAGTTCATTTGCCTAGTTGACATACAATGAAATCTTTGATAGCAGTTTTTCGAAATGAAAAAAAGATGTTACTTAACAGGGGTGAAAGAGCACAAATATGATTTGGAGCAATTGTTGGAGAAGGAAAATCTTGCTTTAGGAGCAGAAAATTCTTAATTTGTAGCAGGTTATGGGTGACAAAAAAAACTTTTCCTCTTTAAGGCACCAAATTCTTTTTGTCAGCTATCATACTAGTACTCGTAATTATATGGCGAACACATGTGTATTAAGGAACAAAATGTGCTGCGTCCTGTGACAGCGTGTACTCGTACTAGCCTCTTCACAATTTTTCAGAACACTTTTCTGCACGACACTGCTATAGTGCAGTTAAAGTTACCTAAACAGTGATCTGCAAGAGAGAACAAAGCTACAAAATTTAGAAACTGCTGTTCTTTGCCATTTTGTTTCATGGTGAAATTACGTCTGCTTATCAGAGAACTTATGGCCACACTTGTCTAATTGAGCACACTGCTTGATATTAGGGAGTATCCCGAGAAAGTTGGCAGAGGTGAATGGCAGGCAAATGGTCGATACTTTCATTGAATACATCCAAGCTTATGCTTTATTTTAAAATGTCCATGCACTGTAAAAAGCAAGAAAAATTTTTAAGCTCCCAACATAAAACAGCAAGCCCATGGCTTCTCTGCACCTTTGGATTACATTGGCTGTCGATGTCTAAACTGCGGGTTACCAGTGCAGCCCTCAGAAAATTTTGAGGCTGGTTGGGCAATTGGACACAGCATGGCACAATCAGCACAGCTGCTGCACCCCTGAAAAAAAGAACAACTCTGCTTTGGAAACTGCTTCTTGAATTATGCATTCCAGCTTATGAGACAACTGTTCTTCCTCAGTCGATGAAAGGACTTCTGTTTATAAGGCATCAACAATGCATTAGTTAACATGTGTGAACTTATACGCCTCATCTAATGTGAAAATTGAATAATGTGATGCAGATATTCTTCATCATGAGATGACAACAAAGGTTGCCAAAATTTGTGAAGTCATCAAGATGGCACTATGATGACATCATCACATAACATCGTCGCTTAGTCACAGGTGGGCCGAACAGTGATCCAGTGCGAAACCAGGTGACGTACAGAAAGCTTTCAGAGGGAGGCCGGGGAGGATCACTACACTGAATGTATAAGAGAGCATGCGAGTTTTTACGTATGCTCCCTCTAGTAACATCATATTGATCCTCGAAGTTATGGGAATAAATATAGGCCACCTTTAATGTCATATCGGCTTTGAAGGTAAAGAAATCAATAAATAAATGCTTTGACATTCACGCTTCTAAATGCGCAGGATGTTATGTTATTCAGATGCTTGTTGCACTGTCATCTTGTCTTCTTTTATTGCATCTGGTTATGCCAATGTTAATTTTGCAAAAATTGCACATTATAAATATATAAAACTTGCTGGCTCATTAACTGATAAATGCTGCTGTTAATTCCATATGACAATTCCCTTTCTCCACTGGTAGCATGTCACTAAAGTGACACTATAGTGCAGTGCACCCATTCAAAGTCTGATTAAATTTCTACTTCGGGTGGATGTATATTCAAAACTTCCAATAATTTTTTCCAATAGAGTTTGCTATCCGATTAAATCTACACTTAAATTTCACTATTCCAACTCCCCAAAGACAAATACGATTAACGTCAAATTGAAAGTGACCCTTTCACATCTTTGATATGCTTCCCTCCCATTACACTTTCGCATTGCGGCAAAGCTGCCTTTCAGACTGCTATGGGTGCAAATACACCGACTCTACAATTGTAAACACTTAATCAACATAGAGATGATAGTAGTGGCAGACGTAGAGGCTCAATTAATGCTGTTTTGGACCTAAAATTTGGGCAAGAAGTCTCAAAAATCAGACACAGAAGATTTTTAGCATCCGAAATTTCAGATGGTCCCTTATATTGACGCCGACGAGGCAGATTTGAAACTCCCACTTGAAGGGAGCACACCACTATTCACCACATCAAATGGGCTTCCACAAAGGCTGAAAGAGATAGAGGAAATAGCATCTTTGCCTTTCATGTGGCAAGTGTTGTTGGCAGCACTTGATTACATCAATCTTGTGCATAAATATGATCCGGCCTCTGCATTACCTCATTCTTGATAAGACAAATAAGACAAATATAAAACACAGCCCACCCAGTGTTTCATCAACCAAGCGATTAAAAACACGGTCATGTTGCTATCTCATAAGAATATGCTTAAGAATCTGCTCAGACTTTTTCTTCTGCAGTTTTGCTTCGTAGTATTAAAAAAATATTCTAGAAATATTCAAAAAATATTCTATTTGATTAGCACTCACCCTTCAATATTCGAATTCACTTCACACCCAGAACTGTGCTATTCGCACAGTTCTGGGTGCTCGCTGGTGTATGACGGGCTTCTGTGGCCTTGCAAATTCAGCCAATCAGCAAGCACAAAAAAGACTATTCATGTTCACAAAGGTAAGTGGCAAAATAGCTGAGCATAATAACAAAGTTAGTTGACACAGAAGCTCTAAAAATATAGACCAAGACACATCCATGTAAAAACAGAAACTGACTGTGGCATTGGGATATTCACTGAAAGGACAGGAGCACATCCCCCAACTAAGGTCGTCTGCAGCTAATGGCAGCATATTTGATAGAATCAAAGTGTGAAAATACAATTCTTAAAAATTGCACAGTGTGCTTCTAGCCTCAAAGAAACATGTACAGTAATACAGAATGGTTGAAAGTAAGCAGATGGTAGAAAAACGTCGTATGTGGCAACGGTGATGCAGTGAATCTACGCACCATCAAGGGTGCTTGTTTCACCCCCCCAAGGACAAGCATTCAAGGCAAACCTTCGGTTGTTCCAGCAGCGTTCAAGGACAACACAAGGCAGAACATTGGCTGTCTAAAGGGAAGTCTTTACAGATGCAGAACCGAAAGGTGGGAGGAGGCAAAAGTGGCGGTGGCGCGTGTTGTTTCAGGAAGGCAGACCGCCATGTCCTAGCGTGACGGATTGCTGTCCCTGTCCTTGCTGGTAAGCTTCTCAATGAGCTCCTGCAGAGGCACCAGCTCCCGCCGATCAATGAGCCCAAACTCCTGGACAAAGAAGATGAAGTGCTTGAAGCTGGTGTTGAGGTGTGCCTCCTCGCCCAACTGCACCACCTCCGAGAAGTGCTGATGATAGATGTGTGCGTAGACTCGAAAGAGCCGCTTCAGGATTGTCTTTGCAATTGAGAAGAAATTCTTGGGGAAGGGCACACCTGCATACAACATGGATGCAAATTATAATGCACACAGATACTCAAAGGACTCAGAAACGATGCCACGCAAGGCTAGCCAAGGTCCACTTATAATGATGACAATAATCTGCATGCACTACATTCCATTGGCAGTAACCTTAGGCTGGAAACAAGTGGCTCAGATAAACACGTACAGTTGTGTATGGGATGCTTTCGGACACCTTCAATAGTGAGGGAATACACAATAGACTGGTTTAGTAGGCAAGTCCATCTTCATGTGTGTTGCATTGGTTCAGGGGTGCAACAGCCGAAATAGAATTTGGAGCAATTTTTGGAGTAGTGAAAGTTTACTTTTGGAGCGCTAAAATGCAGTTTCTGGAAAAAAAACATCCACTTTTATGATGAAAGAACAAATTTCCAGCAGTATAAAAAGAGAAGGCTTACATTCAGAGAAAAATAATGTAAAAACCATTCAATATCACCTGAATCGTGCAAAGTAAACATAAGCACTGCCATTTCAATAAAGGTAGTACTTTTAACCACCCCACTGAGCAAAAAATGATAAATCCGCATTAGCCTTCTCCGCATCTTTCAAATAGTTTGACAGACTAAGTTAATTGAACTAAGGATCTGTCAAGCTGGTGACCTCGAAAATTGGGGGATTAGTGAAACTGAGGAGTAGAGGCAAGAGAAAAAAAGAAAAAAAAAAGATTCACATTTTTTAAAAAGCGCGAGCAATGTCACACACTGCTCCAAATGCTTGCCGGTAGCATTTTCAGAAGTCAGCAATCATACTAGTACTGACAGCTATGCAGCGTATACACGCGTGAGTAAATGAACAAAATGAGCTGCGTCTTGTGACTAATGCCAAGAGCCCCTTTGAAATCATATACGCTTTTCTGCAGGACACTGGCGTACTGTGGACAAGGCGACTTAAGCAGAGTTTAGCACGGATTGGAGCAAGGGCATGAAATTTTCTAACACTGCTACGCCCCCTCCCCCATCCTCTTTTTTTCCCCCACGATGAAGTTAGGTTAAGGTCACAACTTTTCAGCTCACTTGCAAGACCAGTTCTACCCGATAAAATAACAACGACACGCGCCCGTCAATCCGGTGACAACACCGGATAGGTATTCATCGCCGGGACGATGCAACTAATGCAACTTAAAGATAGAAAAAAGTTTTGTGTGCCTCAGATATGGCGACCAACGCGGTCGCCGGCAATGCTGGCATTTGCAGCACGTCGATTTTGCTCACACGAGAAATATTCAGTATGCGCTTTCAGCTCTAACTGCAAATATGCCATAGCCACATTTGTTGACTGGGAAGTTCATATCTCCCTCCAAGCGTTGGTGGCTATGGCAACGCATTTTTGTCTAGAAGTTGTGTTGTCCTGCCAATAGGTATCCGCTGCCATCAACGAACAGATGGGGGTGCGGCTTTGTTACTTTAGCTGGTCGATAGCGTGTCGCGAGTGCCCTGACCTATGTGAATATCTGACACCGCGGATAAGGGTTAGCGACTGCGCACTTGGATTGATTGATCACGCAAACTGCAGGTGACAAATGTGGCCTGTATTTTTCGCTGAAATTTGCGCAACTAAAAAAATTTTGAGGCTGATTGAGCATTTTGGTGCAGCGTGGTAAAATTTCAGTAAGTTTCATGGTTTTGCCATAGCTGAGTGCAGAAATGGGGATCTGTATCAAATTGGGACAATAGGGGCATCTGTTGAACCCCTGAATGAACCCCTGACCCCTATAGAAGTCGTCCACGTAGTAATATAAATGCAACGGACACTAAGGCCACACTGTTAACCCCCGAGCACAATTCTATAGGGTTTGGCTTTTTTAACTGAAAGCATGCATTTAAGAGAGCATTAAGGTGGTGGTTCCATTCCTGCGGCACCCGCTCTGCATTTTAGTCATTGTGTGCTGAAGCACTACGCTTACTGCACTCACCGTATTGATGTGAATTGTACTGCATTAGAAAGCTTACGTTCTCCACTTTCTAATGACAACTAGTAATGTCACCTAGCCTGAAGCAATATTGCATAGTAATAAAAACAGTGCAAGCAAAAACCACTGTTCTTACTGTACAAGCCTTCGTTGTACTAGACGTGTGGCAAAAATGTTCAACATAACCAAATGAAGTTTACTGAGCCTCTTAATAAAGCCTCTTAATGAAGGTTTCTATAAAGAGATACAGCCAGTAAAGCAGTTAAGTGATAAAGGCTCCAATGAAAATGGGCAAAATAATGTAAGTTTATGAGTGAATAAATTTTATGTTTTGTATAGAACAACAATATTGAATGTGTTTCCAGGCTACAATGTATTTATTGTCTGCATGAAGTTCTTTTGCGTTCTGAAAAATAGTTCATAAATTATTACTACTTGAATTCAGCAATATACGGCTCCACATGTTCAGGCATTACCAACGAAGAGACAAAACTATCCAAGCTGAAACTTTCAATACTGAAGCAGCAAGCCTTTCCCTGGGTTTCTATGAAGAGAAAACTATCTTAAGTTAATTAGAAAATTGTAGGACAGCAGTGAATTTACCTCATTTTTCTGCTTGCCAGGTTCATACAAATCTACTTTTATTTTTCATTTACAGGTTAACTCACAACAATTATCGCACATTAGCAGGACCATGTCATGTCTTGTAATTACTAGTGCTCACTAACTTGAAACAACAGATTTTCAAGAAGTAACAAATCTCGCAAATATTTTTTGCTGGTGGCGCTGTCTGTGGAAAAGCCATGAAGTTGCCTCGCGTCAGTTCCGAGGTTTGTCATAAGTGGCGCCGCTAAACATGAGTGCCCCCAAACACGCATGGGTTATTTCTCCAGACTCCATACTTCAGTGTTAAGATTAGTGGTTCAATCTAGTCGCTGCTGCAGTGTGAAGAGAACTCGTTTTAGAGCTGAAAGAATTCACTATAACATAATTCTCTATAACTGAGCAGTTCATTTGTGTATATATGTGTGAGTGCGCCTTCCAAGTATGAGTGTCGTGTTGCTTGACATCATCTTTCCCTCCACCTGCTCCCCACGCACGCACCACAACATGAGCAGAGTAACCCTAATCTCTACTCATATTTTGAGAAGCCGTAACATTTTGAGAAGTCGGCAATCATGCTAGTATTCACAGTTATACAGTGTATAAACGCATGAGTAATGGAATAAAATGAGCTGTGTCCCGTGACTAGTGCTAAAAGCCCTTTCCAAATCGCAATACTCTTCTGCAGTACACTGGTGTACTGCAGTGAAGGTGGCTTAAGCAGCATTCTGCAAGGGTTTAAGCAAGGCCAAGAAATTTTCGACCACCACTATCCCCCCCCCCCCCCCCCCCCCCAATTCTCTTTTTTTCGCCACGATGAGGTTAGGTTTAAGCCAAAAGTTGCCAGATCACTTGCAAGGCGTGTTCTACTAGATAAAGTAACAAAGACATGCGCCCGTTGATCCAGTATTTGGTATTTATTGCAGGGAGGACACAACTAAAGCAACATAAGCAGAAAAATATTTCATGTGCCTTTGCTATGGCACACAAAACGCCGGTGTCCACAGCATGCTGACTCTGTTCAGGTGCTAAAAACGCGGTATGCGCTCACCGCTTGAGCTGCTAACATTCCATAGGTACGTTTGCCAACCAGGAAGTTCATATTTCCCGCGAGACGTTGGTAGCTACGGTAATGCATTTTTGTGTAGAAGTTGCGTTGTCTACCGAAGGGTATCCGATGCAGTCAGCGAGCAGACGGGCATGCGGCTTCGTTATTTTAGCTCGCCGATCGCGTCTCGCGAGTGCTCTGAAATAATGAGAATGTATCTGACCCCGCGGTTTATGGTTAGGGTCTGCACACTTACATTGATTGATGATGCATTGTCTGCACACTTACATTGATTGATGAACAGTTACGTTCTCTTATACATAGTTTGACTTGCAGTGAATCAACTACTGTGCACCAAACCAAGATTTTTTCGCCCATTGCATAGCATGCTGTGTGCATCATAGTGCAATGCCAGCCACATTGGCAGTGTCATGCCAAGTGACAGTGGCAGAGTGCATACGTAACCATCAACATGACCACACGGCTGGTTTGGCTGTTGCTATGTGGCCAGCGTTAAGATAGTAGCTCTGATGATTGACAATGTATTTATTGTATATGTGGGGTTAAAGTCCCAAAACCACCCATGATTATGAGACACGGCAGTGGAGGGATCTGGAAATTTTGGCCACCTGGAGTTCTTTAACATGCACCCAAATCTGGGCACACCGGCCTACAGCACTTTTGCCTCCATCGAAAATGCAGCCGCCACAGCCGGGATTCGATCCCGCAACCTCCGGGTCAGCAGCTGAGTGCCTTAGCCACTAGACCACCACGGCAGGGCAAAATAGCTCTGAGCTGCATATTCTGACAAGTTACTAGCAGCACTGTTCGCAATCAGATGTTGGTGTAACTAAAAAATAATCAGTAAAACTTCAATCTTCACTCATATCTGTAACTTCGTTTCATTGTGAAACTTCTATTAGTGCATTTAAATATCATTAAACAATGATTGGATCTAGTAAATTAGTGCAATAGCTTTCCTGACTAGTCATTTCCTTAAACTGCCCCTTTTCTTGAGGATTTTAATAGCCAATATTATTCTGAAACGAATTCTACTTTTAAAAATGATACATGACATGATTAAATGGCAGTGAGAACAAGAAAATTGCAAATAAAATCATTGCCTCAATAATGCAATTTTAAATGCAAAAAGATAATAAAAAGCAATGTAAAGAGCAAGCTTTAGAAACCGTATTTCACAGATTAAAAAAAAAAAACTGAACAGAGAGCGAGAGAGAGAGAGAAAAAGAAACATGCTATCTATACATGGGGAGTAGGTGAGGAGTGACACGGTGCGAGCCACCCCTCACAAACACGAGGTAGGCTCCTCATTGCAAAAGCCCATTGGCACCCAGTGCGACTCGGGCTCGATTGACCAGGACCTTCTGGCTCGCCAAGTCGGAGCAGCCGAGCAGGGCTGTCTCCCAGTTCTCACGGGTGGAGTTCAGTTTTGCGGTGAGGCGAGCGGTTGACTGGCATGCCTACACTATGTGGAAAATGTCTAGAAACATCTCTGCACAGTGCGGGAATTATCCTGTACAGGCATTAATGAGATATTTGATAACTGCTGGGGACAGCAGTGTTTAGGTTTAAAGGCCAAGAAGTAAGCGCTCTTCCACCTTTGTAAGGCCCCTACAGGCTTTAGTATAAATTGAGTGACCGAATTGGTAGAATTCAGTAGTTTCTCGAAATGTTAAGGCCGGATTAGATTGGAGATCCATTTCAAAGGGTCTGAAGGCGTTACCCAAAGAGCGAACACACGGGCGACGGCGTCAGCCGTTTCAACGCCTTCGAGGCCCATGTGAGATGGAGCCCATAGAATACTACGAGACTAGGAGGCCCTACCGTAATTGCTGCTTTGTAATATGCAGTATGCCAGGTGTGGGGCATACCCGCGTTGAATATTTCTCCAGGCCCTTCTCGAGTCTGTAATGATGAACTTCATCGATTTACACGTCCCGGACAGCTACCGTAGGCCCCGAACGCGGGCGTTGCATTAGTTTTTCTCGGGGACCAACCAGAAGCTCCGTCCACTGGTTCAGGATTGCTCGGACGCATGTTCGTTTTTCACATGCCTGGCAGCATGCGGGCGGCCCAGGACTTTTCGAACTATTTCTTTCAGGCAGCTGACCGACGACAGAGCAGTGCGCATGCCTGTGCAGCCATCTTAAGTTAGACAGAGGGAATTTTCGACGCGCTTTTGCTCTCTCTTTGCTTTTCTGCCCGCTTCTTGCATGTTTCTGGATTTCGCATTGTTTGCGCACCCAGTTCTTGTCATCGGCGTTCTGAGCCACGTCGAGCATGTGCATGATCCCGAAGGTCGGGCAAACACTAGTTGTACTAGCTAGGAAAAACAGCGGTGGAACAACCACGCGGGTCTACAATGCGTGCACGCTCGAGTAGCTCACTCACAGTAAGTTGCAGCACAATGGAGATGGGTATAACTCGCTACCTAACTGCTTTTTAGGTTGGAATTGGGTCGGCATTGTGGCCTGTGTCACAGCCATGGAGGGAGCAGACGACATAGCAGACGCCACAGCGAGCATGATAGCATCAAGCGCGCAGATGGCTCGAGGCCGCTCGGCACTTTTGGATAACATGCATGTGAAGTAGCTGCCAATAACCCGAGGTGTCCGCGGGCCACCGGCAAGTGGTCCGGGACTTGGTAAAACGATGAAGCTTGATAACGCGCGAGCCCAGGTGTGCGGCAGCTAGCGTGATGGCGACTTCCTCCGCATGTGTTATGTCCTGTGCTCTGAATGTGAGGTGATCCACAGCGATGTTTTGTTAGACGAATGCAGCCGTGTACCATCCCGCATGCTGAGGGCCAGAGGCACTCATGTAAAAGATGCCACGTTTGTTCCCCTAGAGGCAGGCCAGTGCCTTCGCCCGCGCAAGGCGCCTGCCACTGTGGTCATCACGTGTCATGTTGGCCAGAAAAAGGGCACACGTGTAGAGCGCATCTCCAGATTTCTGGGATGCGCACGTGCTCCTTCGTCTCAGTTGGATGGTAGATGTGTTGTCGAGCTAATAGGCGGCGACACGATGGAGTCTGAAAGTCAAGTATTGATTAGCCTCCTGGAGCTCTGCGAAACTGTTTACAATCCCAAGGCCCAGATGGCGCTGGTTGGACGTGGCTATTGAGAAATCAAGGGCACGCTTGTACATCTTGCTGAGAATCCCCTCAAGGGCGTTCTTATCGAACTTGCGCAAGTAACGGTAAGCAGCCGAGTAGAGGACTCGACTGGTTACGAATGCATGCGCTAGCCGCAAAGCGTCTCTGCAATGTGACCCCCCGCGCTTGATGGAAACCCGGCGGAACATACAACCCACTTGGTGCCCTACTTAAGCAGTTTCGTCAATGTTGTATCGATTCGGCGAGGTTTATGAATAAACAGACCCAGTACTCTTATCTCATCATGTTCTGGGATGGGTCCGCTTTAGGCTTGTGCGAATAAATTTTTGGTTTGAAGCGAATTCGAAGCAAATAGCGATTTTGGTCTAATGATTTCGAATCGAATTCGAATGATATGTATGACATATAAAAAAAAGAGAATATTTATCATGACCCAACTAACCTGCACAATATTTCTTTTGAATTGATATAGGGGCTCTATGCAAATGCCATTTATTTTTTCATTCAAAGGAAGTCGAAACAACCTTGAGTAGTAGTTTCGGTAGAATGCGAGTGATAACATGTAAGATACTTAACGTTTTAAAATTTAATATGCTTGGATCATATAAGACGTCATAACAAGCTTATTAAAATGAAGAATTGATTTGAGGGTAACATATTCCTTTAAAGCAGCCCTGCAACACTTTTTCAAGTAGCCATGGAGCCAGTAAACATGCTTGTAGCCTCACAAATTTACTGCCGCAAAGTTTCTAGAATCAGTCCAGAACGAGCAGAGTTCCAAAAATTTGTCGCACACTGCAATTGCATTCTCTCTTCTCCTCTTGACGAAATAGCTGGAAGCTAAGCAGGGAGGAATGGCACAGCAAAAGAAAATACTCCACACGCACCTCATGACCTTGAGCACCTCTTTTTTTTTCTTCGAATACCGGGCTTACAGTGCGATCGCACACGTACTCGTGGACAAGCAGCAGCTCCGGTAACGATGAGCACACTATGCTCAAATCAGCCAATGCCTGTGACCAGAGCCGTATATTTCTTCTTGGGTGTGACAAGTGATTTTTGAGCTTGTAGTGTCATTGGCCGAAGAAAGAAAGCAATTTTTAACTTTGAAAATTTATTGTGAATTACAGGCCACATGCTGCCCTCAATATCTGCCTCCCGTATTTTCTGTAGCCTCGGTTACCGATCAGCAGCGTTTTCTGACTATGTTCAGTAAATGTTGCAGGGCCCTTTAAAATTTGAAGGGGAACTTCATGACAAAGCAAATTTTTCCCGAGCACGTGCTTTTACTGCTTAGAACCCCTACATTGCAGTGAAACCACTTTACAAGTGATGACATGCGGATTAATATACACCTATTCGTTGATTGCGAATACTTTGAAAATGTTCAATAATTTCAATTCGAATCGAAGCTCAACTATTCGTTCGAATAGTTGAACTTTCCAATAGTTGAGCTTTCGAATTTGAAGCATTCGAATATTCACGCAAGCCTAGTCCGCCTTGCAAGGACAGTTATATTTTGGTAGTGCACTTTGGCGAGGAGTGGATGTGCACGAATTTCGATTTTGTAGGGGAGAACTGAAGGTCGCAGCGGGGGTCGTAGGCGTCCACGATCTCCGCCACTTGCTGCAGGTTGGCTTCCATGTCTCCTAGCGATCCGTGTTTAGCCCATATGGTAATGTCCTCATACAGCATACAGCGCGTGTTGTATGCCTTCAACATTCTCCAGCTGAGCTGGTAGGTTCATCATAGCCAGATTAAAAGTAGGGGTGAGAGGACCACGCCCTGTGGAGTACCTCTCGTGCCTAATTGGTAGGAGCCGAGTTCATTTTCTATTCAGATATTTGACTTTCAGTCAGAGAGGAATTGTATAATGTATTGAAACGTGTTGGGACCACAGACCACTTGCAGGAAGCTATGCTTGTTGCTGTGCTTTCTTGATACATAGGCATCTTGCGATTTTACTGAATGGTGATGCAGGGCCCCTTTAAATCCAACAGAACCACCAAGAATGATTACTTTTTCTAACCTTCAAGATAACATTGCTGAAAAATGTCATTGTGTAGCATGCTGTGGCTCATACTGAACTAGAATGCAAGTAAGGTTTCTGGATGCTAGTGTTCGAGCACAGAACTGTCAATTTTATCCCGCCTTCCTAATGTTTCCCTCAACAGAGCTCTGCTGTCTGAAGTTCAAACTTGGCCTGAGCTACTACTGCCAAGACTAACTTGCTCTTGCCCACCCTATGTGTAGCCCAGCGTCCAGTATGCAAAGAAAGGAGCAGACAAAGCACCCTGGCGTTAACGCACTTGACGAGGCAGAAAACAGTGCTTGTGCTGCTTGTTAGTGGTGAGCACATGAAGAAAAAGAAAATCAAGAGTGGACACACCTATCTTTGAAGGGAACAAGGCTTCATCATCAAGTTGGTCCTGCACCCATGTCATGAGGTAATCGATGTACTTGGGGGCTGAGCACTTGATGGGCTTCTTGACCGTCTGTCCATCAGCCCAGTGGTACTCGTACTTGGGGCCCGCTGACATGACTGCACAGCTGCCCTCAGTGCAGAACTCGGTCACTGTGCCGTACAGCATGTTGATCTGGTTGAAGAAGTCCACTGTGTTGACAGCCACCCACTCGTTGAGGTCCTCGCCTTCGGGCAGCATCACGGCGAGCCGCAGGTTGCCCGAGCCCAGCGTGGCCGCTGCCTGCTTCATCAGGTCATACTGGTGGGTACCCTCCGGGATGTTCTTCTTTGGCTTGAAGGTCTTGGAGGAGCGACCCCCGCTGAATGCACAGAGAATGCCATGTGTTCTTAGCATTCCCAGTGAGTCCACAACAAAGCTAACCAATTTAGTATTGCAAATATATCAACATAAAACTATTTTCTTAATGCCATGTCCTCTATGTAGGCTGATCAACAAAACATATATGTTAAAAAACATTCCACAAAAAACAGACACAAAAAAAGTGCCACCATATCCACGAAGTGAATGATGATGAGTGGGCGAAGCTCCGGAGATAAACCTGGTAAACCATGAATCCTCTGTACATTTTGCGCACTCGATTTTATTACAATGCTCCCCCTAGCATACGTTGCCGCACTAAATTGAACGATTGCGTTCCACCAATGAGACACGCGCCATATGTGACATCATTCCTATTTTATAACATCTCGCATCTTTCATCATCAACTACAAGTACCGCTGTCTAGTTTATAACATCTTGCATCTTTTCATCATCAGCTATAAGTACTGCCATCTAGTGAACACTGCAAGAACTAAACGAGAGGTGGCTACATATAGAGGATGCACAGCCCACGCCTTAAGGAGCTTCGCCCCTAAAAAGTGAATCTTCATATGTGTATCAATACACTTTTTAAGTCAATATTCCAGCTAAGACAGCCACTACACACTCTCTTGCACACCTTCCGACATACAGGATCCTCCCCTTTTTAAGATAAGCAGCTGTTTAGCACTTAGGCACTAATAAGTAGTAGCCCATCTGCATTTTGGCATCAAATCCAGCATACTCACCTTTCAATCATAGCTCTTTGGACTGGGTATCATATACGACACATTTACCATCGTAAAATAGAAAACACCACACATTTCAACAAGCCCAAAGCCATTAAAGGGGCCCCGCAACACTTCTCTAAATAACCGTTAAATGGCCTCATTAAAGGAGTTTGTTGCCCAATGAACTGACCATGAAAAAATTTTTAATTTCAAAAGTATGAGCCCAGTTAGACATTTGCCATACACTGGAAGCTAAGCAGGAAGGGGGAAAGAAGCATGGGGGAAAGAAGTTATGTCACGTGGACATCATGACCTTAGGCACTTTTTCTTTCCTTTCGAAAGCATGGCATGCTTTCAGTGGGATCGCAAGTGCACATTCGTGCACGTGACAGCATCCCATGGCATCCTTGGTAACTTTGCCACCCACGGCACTGAAACCGGTCAACGGATGTGAAATCTGAGCACATAGTAGTCCTTTCGGTATATGGATCAAAAGAAGCGGAAACTCACTCTAAATGGTCAATTAGAATAAAGTAAATATTAAGAAAACTGCTGCCTTAAAAAATTAATTGTCAATTTCAGGCCTAATGCTGCACTATAATGCTTAGCCACGTTTCTCAGGAGACTTCACTACTAATTGGCAGTGTTTTCTGACTCTGCTGGCAAAGTATTGCACAAGAGAGAACACATTTGTGCTTATCCATGACCGAACTGAATTTTCAAAGTTTAGTTAATTATTCATAAACAAAACCTGGAGCATATGTGTTCAAATAGATAAGACAGGAGTGTGCTAAATGTGCTTTGTAAGCTACACATGCAGCCTAAACAGTCCTATAAAAATGCACACCTATTTCAGGCTTTGTGCACCTATATGAAGAAACAACTGAAAACCTTCACGAGCCATTCCACTCTGTGAAAGTGGATGGCCAGAGAAGCTATGTAGCACATGGATCTGTTTATTTTATTTATTTGTTTAGATATTTATACATTTGTCAATAGCTTGATTTTAGCATATGCTCCTTTAAACCCTTCCAACTCAATTTGTGTAGGCCATAAGCACAGCAAACAGGTCTCATTTATTAACTTATTTACTTTCTTATATCTACAGGTTCATTCGATGTTCTATTTATTCTCAGTGCACCAGCATGAAGTACCGGCATTTGTCCAATTTCTGTGGCACATACCTGCTAGGGGATTTCACTTGAGTAGGTAATCGTTGATTAGACAACTTTTGAATAAGTAACTGCTTGTAAAGTTACATCTTTAAATTTCTTATTGATTTTAGGATTGCAGTCGTATCAACCAATTTGCTCAGTTCATAAGCTGCCATTTGAGCCCAATCTGGGCAGCCATTCATGATGATAATTTCGTGTTGAGTAGGTAACTATTCGCTAAGTTTTGGCTGTACATGGTATTTTAAATGCAGAGCATTTTTTAGTCACACAATGTCGCACGTCGTGTGTCAGTGGCGATGTCCACACTCCCACTTCGCATGCTCGCGCCTCGCGTATCGTGCCGCAGGCTTGCGTCTCATGCCAACTGTTTGCTCCCCCGCACCCTCTCGCCTCACAAGGCCAACGCAGGGAGCATCTGCTAGTAAAAACCAACTGCTCTAGCTGCACAACCGTTCACTGGCCACCCTTTATATGTAGGAACTGGATCGCACATGAGCGTCTCGCTACTCGTTCAAGGCAACGCTTCTCCTTCCATTCAATAAATAAAAAAAATGAAGACGAAATAACAAGCATTCCCAAACCATGCCTAATTACAAAACTTTCAACGCGATACCCTCACCACTCTGCGGCGCATTTACTCGAGTTCCCCCCGTGGGAAGATGCAGGCGGCTTTTTTTTATATGTGTTGTACAACCATAGCAGTGCTGCTAGAGTGGTGTAAAATTGCTTGCTTAATATTGCTAGTAGTTGGATCATGCTACGATGTGTGCAAATACACATCACAGGCTGATAGCCCTGTGTGTCAGGAAATGACGTGAACACTGTTTCGCCAACTCGGCCACAATGAGTGCAGCACTTTTTGATTAACTACACACAATGATATGCTAAAATTAGCATGTAATTTCACTTTATCTTGAAGAACATCCTATTGAATTATCAACATCTTTGAGGTAGCATTCATATTTAGCAGATTGCCCAAAATGGCCACATAGGTTTTCAATACCAATTTGTAACCTCGCGAGTCTGTCAAGTCTCTTAATGTTCACATGTAGCTGCATGCTACGTTTCAGGATTGGGCAAGATACCAGCCATCACTGTTCTGTGTCAAAATAAATTCAGTGCCATTTGATTAAAATAATCATGCGCTAATCAAATCAATCAGTGATGTTATCCACTTATTGCCCAGGTGCCACCCCGCTTACACATTTGTCCGGTTTCCACATTTTCACATCTACAATTCCTTAGTTTTAACAATGCAAAAGCAGTGCATACTGGTTTCATATGTGCTTAAATTAGGCAAGTGTCAAATCCCTTTCGAGAAAAAATTTCAGAACCTCGTCATCTTCCAACTTCTTTAATTATCGCTAAGAGCTCAAGCGTGACTGCTTGCCACCTATGAAGGCCACATTAAAAAATATAGAGGTTCATCCCAAGCAAGAAGTGTATTCCGGCCAACATGATCTTCACATTTCATTGCTTCACATAACAACTATGTCAGACAAATATGAAGAAAAAATAAATAAAGGAAAAAGTCTTATAGCTTTTACAACAGAAATAAGCTGTTGTAAAGGCTGGAATGCTAGTTAGGTGTTCCCTTTACAAGGGGCAACAATATTTTCAACACTTATTATTATTTTTTTTTGTGAAATGACAGTTCAAACACCTTAAAGTGACGAAAAAATGGTGACAAAGAGCCCGAAAATAAGTATTTCTACAACCAAGTCTCAGTTCTCAGGAGGCATTGATGTACAACATTATGATATATTGACTCACCATGGCTACCATGCACAAAGGTAGATAGAAAAAAATTTGTGCAGCTCTGTATTCTTTATTACCTTTATTGTGATACCAATACCAAGCCTTGCTGTTACATGAAAGAAAGTGTTCCATGTCTCAACATCATGACATCAATGAACCCATTTGGCACCAAACTTAGTTACCATGTAATGTTTTGTGACAGTTTCCCACAGCCTCTACCCTTCGAAATTCAGATCCTTCTCTAACATGCGAGACCCATGCACAAGTTCTTACACTGTTGAAGCTATGTGTTGGTAATTCCACAAGACAATATTGCACAATTATACAAGTTTCTTAGCATATTCTCAATTTACCTGTATTTTTTACTAACCAAGGTATGCTGCTGCAGAAGCCTCAAATGCATTGGCAATATAATTCTCTGCTTGTCTCCTCCTCCCAACACTCCCCCACCCCCCAATCTCCCAAAATAGCAGATAACAGGTGGAGCAAGCATGATCCTACTGTGCCAACATTGAAGGGCTCCAGTGCCAATGCCACTGTTTCCAGAAAGACAGCCTGCTTACTCCAACAGAACTGCACAAAACATATCCATGTCAGCAGAGCTGATGTGCTAGAAACCATGGAACATCAAAATAATTCAAAGAAATGTTGAAACATTTCACTGCAGTGTCTATAAACTTGGCCAGTGACAACAACTAAACAAGGAGACTTTTTGGAAGATTTTTATACACTGGGTTCGAAGGGTAAGCATAAAAAAAAACGTTCTACAGAAAGCTTGCTGGAAAGAGCTCTGACAAGTCCACTACTGCTATTCACTGCAGCAAGTTTTTCATGCCAGAGTGCCTGCACAAATGAAATTCCTTTTTAAAACACAAGGCAATAAAATGTAACAAAGACTGCCACTTCCTATGACTGTCCAAACTTCAAGATTAAAGTAGTGCAACACAGAACTTCGGCTTCCGGCACTGATAATACAGCTCAACTTCTCCGACACCCTAAACGGTTTCTATAAAATTTTACATCAATACCAGCCTTTATCACCTTCACAGGCCGTAACACAGTTGCACACAGAACCTGCAAGGGCAGCGTACTTTCTCAGTACAAGAGCAACAATACAACGGAATGCTGTTCTTCAATTTCAGCTGTGGGGAGTGTCAAAACAAGCGTGAATGCAAACAAGATAAAGACAAAAGCAAGCACCGGAGAGAGGTCAGTGGACTCTTTTAAGAGACGCTCACACGGTGCCTGTGTTGTCAGACAGAGCAGGCAAAACTTCCTGTAGGTGTAACATGTACACCCTATGTAGCTGCCAAGCTGCCTAATACACGTTAAAAGG